TCAACTCCAGAGTATGGGATCCAGACTAAGGGCCTGATCCGGTACTTTTGTTTGGAGGAAGTTTGTGGAAAAATGCAGACCCCTCTGTATTATGGGAGGGACCTTCCCCAGCTTCTGTTTTCCAGGAAGGTGCCACAGGCATCACAAATGGTCGTTATCAAATGACTGAAATAAATGGGTCTGAGAGTTCTCTTCGCTCGAGGGTACCTCCACCCCCACCCTTTTTCTGCAAGAGTGAATTCCGGGGGCCAGTGCACAAAGGACATGGACATCGACCAAATCATTCCCAGCCCTCCGGGTGTGCCATTCATTTCTGAGATTCCGCAGCAGTAGCAGCAGCAGTTGTGTGGGGTCGCCATTCCCTCTTGCAAAACATTTGTGCCAAACTTCCTCTTTTGGAACATTTGAGCCAAGCTCAGACTCTTTCGCTTAGGCGTTGATCCCACATTCTTCTTCTTACCCTTCTTCTCCTTCTTCTTCTTCTCCTTCTTCTCATTCTCCTTCTTCTTCTCCTTCTTCTTCTCCTTCTTCTTCTTCTATGTCTATGCTCTTATTAAAGGGAATAGCGGGTCTCGCGTGACGCTCCTGCGAGGCCAGCCTCCCAGTGTTGGGAAAACGGGCGGGGACAAGGTGTGGGCCCAACGGAAACCGAGAGAAACGCGCAAGAGATTTTTGCAGCGTCGTTGTCGCACGGTGCATGTTCGAATAAAAGTACATAGCAGCCCACGTTGCGCTGTCTTATTGTTTTTTCCTTTTTCAGTAGTGGTTTGTTTCGTGAGGCAGCACATTGATGCTTCCAGATACCATCCGTGGCCTCCATCTCTGTTTGAAACGAAATCTGATGTTTTGAGTTAAGGTGGCACGTGTGGTGCATTTCAGGTGCTTCTTTTTTGCTCCCTGCACGTGGCTTTTTGTCAGCCTGCATGCAACCGTGTAGATTAACTTACGGCCTCGCTCCATTGTACTCACCACATGCACAAAAAAAGACAAAAGCGTTCCACGGCACCACAGCAGTGGTGCAAGAGCAAGGCTGTACCACTCCCTCATCACGGTGACGAGGGATGGGCAGGCATTGCCGATGGGGGAAATCAGCGGTGCTAGCGCCGAGCAATGGCCAGTCACTGCACCTCCCCCTACCCCCCCTGGGGCTAGGGAGAGATCCGGGTTGGTTGGTGTTCCCCCTACGATACATGGACTAGCGAGAGGATGAGATAGATGAGTACTGGCAAGAAGATGAGATAGATGAGAGAAGAATATAGCTTACTTTAGAACAAAAAAAAAGGAAAAAAAAAGAAGAAGTTCCGCCGTGTATCTTGCCATGTTCACGCTTAAGATTCATTCCTCACAACATTCTGGGGTGGTCCCAATGCATGCAACCGTGTAGGTGCACTTAGGGCGTCGCTCCACTACTCACCACATACACAAAAGGCAAAAAATACGTGTGAATTTGCTTAGGGCCTCTCTCAACGGCTCACCACATGCACAAAAGACAAAAATATGGCGGTGCATCTTCCCATGTTCATGGGGAAGATTCATTTCTCACAATGCCACCGTACACAAGGCCTACCTCGTCCAGTTCTCACCACATGCACCACCACTCACCACATGCATAAATGACAAAAATAAGGGGGTGTATCTTCCCATGTTCATGTGGAAACTTCAAATGTACACAAGCCTGCCTCGGTCCATGGGCCTCGCTGCACTACACTTGAATCTTGAAGAATCAAGTGTGCGGCACCGCTATACACTTCAAGAAGTGTCAGATTGGCGCTAGATTCATCAAGAGTGAGTCATCGCTGCACTTACTCTTGACGGATGCTCTTGAATTTCTTTTTCAAGAGGTGGCAGAAGGCCTGATTCTGACAGCTCTTGAAGTGTTCAAGTGTGCCTGCCTGCAAGGGTGGGTGGTCGGCCCGACCCTTCACGAGCTCTAACAGCTTTCAAGAGCGGCCCTCCAGTCTGGGCAGACAAAGCAGCGTTGCACCGTCGTGTAGCATTCAAGACTGGAAAAAAAAAAGAAAAAAAAACAAATCAAGAATCCTTCAAGAGTAGGGCCGTCAAGAGTCAGTGCAGTGACGACGGCTATTGTGAGCATTTCTCTTGTCTGAGAGCTCTTGATCTACACTTGAACTTTTCTGTGAGTCAAGCGTAGTGTGGCGAGGCCCCATTTCTCACTACATGCACAAAAGACAAAAAGTATGGCGGGTTTGTGGACTCCACTTTCCATGCACAAAAGACAAAAAGGGGGAAGATCACGTTATGCATGAGAGACAAAAATTGTCGCAGTGGTCTTGAAGAAGATTCCTTCTCAGCTTTCATATTTGTGAGTAGTGGAGCGGAGGCCATGGCAGAGGCTGAAAAGGGGCAAAACCCAGCAGCCCTGGCTCAGTCGATGCACACCTGAAACTTTTGAAATGCAAACGAGAGTTGAAATCCGGCTGCAACCAGAATACCGAGTTCTGATTTACAAAGGATCCAACGGTGCGCTGATAGCTTGGCCGATGCCGCCCCGAATACTGCGCATCCCTCATGTTCTACAACAAACCCCCCTTGTGTCACCGGGGCCAGATAATGGCTGTGCCTGGGGCGGGCTGGGTGCTGGGCCGCGGCTTTGCCGCGGCGGGTTCACTTGTTTTTATAGGACAAGCATCACATGAGGGGTGAGACTTAATGAGGTGATATGAGCACCCTCCCTAAGTGGCCCTATGGTTGATGGCTCCGGTCGTATTGGTGGGGAGCAGCACCTGCTGCAAACAGGGTTCAGCATCCCAGAACAGTAGAAAGAATGCCAGACCAGATAGAATTGATTGCCCCCTCTTAAACGGAGGGGATTTCCTACCCCTGCAAATCGCTGCTAAAGACAACATAGTTTTTCCCCTTTCTTTCCCTACCGCCCCCCCCCCCTCGCATCCCTACTAATCATCTTTTCATTTTTCATCCTCCTCTACTTCCCTTCCCTCCCCACCACCCACCACTCCCCAGAACCTCCCTGCTGGGATCCCAGCCCTTTGCTTGGTCTGAAAGGTTTTGAGGTTGGAAGTGGGTAAGACAGGATGAGGTGGCGATGGGTGGGCTGAGGTATTGGATAGGGAGGAGAGGGAATAGAACTAAGAATCCTGAGAGAGGGGATCTTCACAGGAAGTATATGGAGTAGGTGGGGGCAGTGGCGTACGCCAAGGGGGTGTGAAGGAGAGCGGGGGGGTTGAGGAAAGCAGGTCGTGACAGTCTTCTCGGCCGGTGCCAGATCCTGTCTCTTTCAAAATCAACTGTGTTCCCCCGGTAAAGCGGGCCTTGGATGAATAAATATAATGCAGCCTACGGGCTCGAAACTGATCCTACGTCGTGGAATGCCGATGTCGCACCCCCAATGCCAGAAGAAAGTTGCACCCACCCAACACTAACAGAACGCATATGCTTTTTGAATGAATAAGCCTCACACACTGTGTTCTATTCATTTAAAATGCATGGGCAGAGTCGGGCAGTCCAAAATCTAAGGGTTAAAAAAAATAAAAAAAAAATAAAAAAATAAAAAAAAAAAAATCTGAGGGTTTTGTTTACTCAGTACGTCAATGACGCTCCTCCAACCCCACCCTAAATCCTCTGGCCCCAATGCATCCAGTGGGATCTCCGAAATTGGGAAAGAGTGAGGTAAGACTCCCAAGAGAAAGAATGTGGGACAGGGCCTTTAAGCCCCTACCGTGTTCACCCCAATAGAACGCCCGGCCATTATAGCTGCATCTGGACTGAAAATTGCACCAAATACGGCTACAATGACCAGGCGTTCTATTCGGGTGAAGACGGCAGTAAGACGGCAGTACGCGAGCAAGATCCGCCAGCACATGAAAGGACCGCACTTTGGATGTACACAAGCCCCAAAAAACAAAAGAAAGGGATAATTTGCAAAATACCCCCAAAATGCCCCCGAAAGATGTGGGTAGAGCGGAATGCCCCTCTGACAAAAAGAATATTTTGTGAAATACCCCTGGCGTCGGTTGGACCCCCATCTTTGCAATATACCCCTACCAGGTACCATCCAACGTTGCAAAATGCCCCAGTACTTGACAACTTTTCCTAGGCGAGATTTCAAAAGGCCAAGGCCCAGACAGGGAGGTCCAGATTGCAAATTTGCATTTCCACCAGACAGGGGCCCAAAAGGGCATTCCGCTCTATCGACACCTTTCAGGGGCACTTTCGCATATACTGTCACAGGAATATCAGAGCGCAAATGCGAAAAAAAGAAAAAAGAAGAAAAGAAAACCAGGGAAAATTGAATTCAGTTTTTTATCTTCTTTCTTACAACTCCCCCTGTTCAGAACCTCTTGCGTACAAGGCCGCCCACGTGGATGTAGGTTGAGCGGCGGCTGCCCCCACCCCCGTGTGTCATATCGACCCACTTGCACACAGCCAGAGGGCAAAGAAAAGAGGAAGGAAACAGCCCAAACAAAACAGAACAGGGGGCTGCAAAGCAAATCCTAAATGACAAGCCTAGATGACAAGTCCCACATGCAAACACCGCCCCGGGCAACTACAGGCCAAACGACAGGACAAGACCAGCCAGGATGTCATAAGACAAGGCATAAAAAAAGCTCCGATCCACATATATCTCAACTTATGGAGGTATCTTGCAAACTATGACCAGGCGTTCTATTCGGGTGAAGATGCTAGTACGCGAGCAAAATATCATCCAGCATATGAGACGACCGCACTTCGGATGTACACAAGCCACAAAAAAAAAAAAAAAAGATGTATACAAGCCTCCATGTGCCCGGTCAAATCCATTAACGAACGTTGAAAAAAAACGATTGGCAATCTGCAGAAGCGTCCGTGTCCCATAAGGGGGGTTTAGAGGGGGAACAAGCAAAAGATGGCTTGCCCGATAAGGAGGAGAACGGTCTGTGCCTGGCACTGGCCACCTGGGAACCAGAAAGGACCACACAGCAGGAATTTGGGAAAAAGCAGAACTGCGCCACTCTCCCAATCCCCCCGGATCAGATCATTACCTGCAGTCTCGCAGAAGGCAGGCACAGGTCTTGAGGAGATCCGCAGCTTGCGCGCCTGGAACAAGGGCCACCATAACAGCCACTGCAGCAGCAACCCCAGCCATTGTCCCCCTCAAAGCCATAGTCCCAGTGATGGTGCCATCCATGGTCTCACTCAAAGAGAATGGCAAACAAGGCTCCGGAAGATTCCTCGAGGACCAGGCATTGCTCTTAATGACTCGCTTTGGGATTGCTTGGCTTGCACTCTCTGTAGGGGTGTCTTTTTCTTCTGCTTCCTCAAACTCCTTCAGGCCACTTGAGTCAGTTGCTTGAACCCACCGGACTCTCTGAAATAGAGAACGAAGCCCACGGAAGAAGGCCCCTTCTCTGCTATTGTCATTGCTTCTCCTCCTCACGACCTTGCATGTCAAAGCACCTGCACACACAATTCCCTTGCGAAGCAATTACAAGTATGTCAATACCCAAACCAAGCGACGAACCTCCATACTACCTACTGCCTGGATACGCAGCCACCTGTTCCGGATCAAGCTCATGGCGGCAACTCTCAATGTTCTCTCTCTCTCTCTCTCTCTCTCTCTCTCTCTCTCTCTCTCTCTCTCTCTCTCTCTCTCTCTCTCTCTCTCTCT